TATGGTTTTTAGGCAGCCACTTTACCTTCTTGAGTCTTAAGTTCCTTCGCTATAACTTGAGAATGTAATATCTTTTTGACTTCCTCACAAAGTTACAGGGAAAAGCATTTTATAATCTTTAATAAGTTATACAAATGTAAGGCACCATTAGTTTCAGCTTCTGCCTTTAAAATTTCTTATATGTCATGTGTAACAGTAATATGTATTTATTATGTATGGTGTTGGATGAAAGGTGTGCCATGAAGGAAGTAACTTGAGGATGTGATATTTCAATGTGAATTCATTTCACTATGCCAAAATATAGTTCACATTTATTCTAACACCCTGTGCCCTACCTTTGGATTTATTCTTTATTTCTTACTGGTTCCCGAATTGTTTTACTGTTATTTCATCCTTCCCCATACATGGGGGCAAAGAGTTGGAACCATCTCTGTCCAGCGGTGCAACTCTCTTTTATTGACCATTCTGAAGAAGGGTGACTTGGTGACTTCACCTCCTACAAATTCATTAATGCCATGGGGGCAAAAGATTATTTCCTAATATGGGACAGAAAAAGCTGAGGTCCTCTCGTCTGCCATTCTCTACGTTGTCTGGAAGTCACCAAGTCCTATCAAATGTGTCTTCTAAATCTCTCTCAAATCAATGCTTTAATGCAAGACATGAGTCTCACTCCTGAAGCACAGAAGTATCCAACTCACTGGACTCTTCCCTTAGTCATGTGCTCCCACCCCTACCCTCCTACCTACCCAGTCTTCCTTCCATTCACCATGCTGGAGTTGTTTCCTAAACCTGAATCTCTATACATCAATTTCCTACTTAAACCTTGGATGGCATCTAGCCTCAATTGGAAAGCCCTGTATTGTCTAAACATGACAAGGATGGCTTTCTAGATTTGATGCCTGTTAATCTCTGAAGTGTCTCTACTCACACTTGCACCCAGCAATATTGAGCAACTGCCTGTTCCCAAATGCACCATCCCTGTTTCAAAGCTCCCAGCTTTTCTTTGCGATTTTATTTGCCCTTCCTCCACTCTTTCTCATCTGAAAAAATTGCCATTTATCCTTTAAAATTCTGTTTCAGAGTCCCTCTTTCTTTGATCCTCTTTCAGATCATCAGAGAAATAAACTACTACATCTAACAGTACATATTTTCATTATGGTACATATTACTCCAAATTTTAATTATTTGTTAGAAAAATCTGTTCCCCCTTCAAAGTTACGAGCCTCTTGAAGGCAAGGATCATGTTGTATTAATCTTTGGGTCTCAAGAAACTACCAGTGTATTTGACAAAGTATAGCTACTTTATAAATATTTCTTAAGTAAATGAATGGATGGGTTCTTATAAGTGAAAACAACATATGTCCTGTATAATTTGTGGGACTGAGCTTTAGTAAAGGAAACATCTGACAGGGCTCATCACTTATTTATCACTGTTAGTTCTTTTCACCCTTTTTACATTTATATAATCTTCTTGTAAAATCTAAGGTTGCAAGCATCTTATGTGCATGAAGGAGCAACAGAAACTGACCAAATTGGGCTCATCGGTGAGCCACATGCCCTGTGGCACACATTAGTGTCATCACAAATGGGTTATCTTCCCCTTCACCTCCTCCATATGACTTTGGGCAGCTGTTGTTGTACTGAAATTCATGAAAAGCAGAGTTCCTTGTCAACTTCCCTCATTTCAGAAACAAAACTGCTCTCTGTAAAAGCACCTGGGCCTTTCCCTACAGAATGACATGCTCTTCTCTCTTTCCAAGGCAGTGAGAATGTAGTCAGGCATTGTGTGTCTCAGATCCCATTGATCAGAGTTAAATTGGAAACCAAGGAGCCCACAGTGGTGCTCCCTGCCTGTTGAACTCATAAGCTTACTTTGTCCCAGAGTCCCTCTACTGAATCAGTGTAAAGTGTAATCTAGCAGGCCTCCCGTTTTTACTATGATGACCATGATCAATGGGTAATAGGTGAGTATTCTCAATTTTATCTGACTGCACTACTTCCCAGAAAACTCTGGGGGTAAAATGAGGAGTGTGTTATTTTTCTTTTATATTTATAATTATATTCTGTGCCTTCTATTATTTCATACCACAGAGGCTTTTCCTGTCTCTTCCAAGGTACCCATTTGACCTAGAAGTGAGAATTAATACCTATTGTGTAACTAATGATGGTTCTTTTACGAGTTAATCAAAAAAATTAGGAATAAAACAAAAGTTGGCATCAATGTACTTTGCATCTTTTTCAACTTCTTCATAAGACTTGATTTTGCTTTCAAATGTATGGTCCTAGATTATAAGCAATGTAAATTAGTTTCTCTCATTTCAAATAATTAATCTCTGAAACTACTACAATTTGAATTTCACTGTTCTATAAGTCAGATTTGGGAAATATAACTGAAAGTTCATTTCATGGAAACCAAACTTAGCTTGTTTTGCTGTTTTCTCTCTTTCCTCTTTTTTTTTTTTTTTCTCTTTCATTATTTATTCAATAAATGCAAGCTGGCCATATCATTTGTTGGTTAGATTTTGCTGGGCACTGTGAAGAATTAAGATATGTGAGGTTAGTGCTCTCAAAACCTTACAGAGAAAGAGACAAAATGTTAAATAGGAATAGAGTTGTCACAACACCACGAAACAAGTAGTACAAGCAGCAAGGCCTGCAAGTTCAGATGCCTGTCTTTACCTCTGATATTTTCTATCAGGGCTCCCTGGACTGCCATCCTTTGTGATTTATTTTTAATCATTCTTTTCATCTCGTTCTAACACAGAGATCCAGGAACACATCACTCATTCTATCCTCTATCTTTCTTATTGCCTCAACTCTACTTCTGAGCCCATGAAATAAACTTTGGAAGCTATATTCATACTACTTTGTGAAAGTCAGTGTTATCTACCCACTTCTAAAATAAAGGAGATGAGGTTATATGAATTAGGAAGGGGGTGTTTTTTTCCAGATCTATATACCAACTTTACCTGCATATATGAAATCTTATAAAAAGCAAGTTTTTGACCATATTCAGCAACAAATTGTTACCAAATTGATGAAGCTTCATTAATAACTCTACTCCTTTTCAATAGTTATTTAGGATAGTCCTTGGTATATTATCTAACCCATTGTGAATGTGTGCACTCTCTTCCCTTGACTCCATAAACCAAAGCTATTCCACAGCCTTCCTTCCCTTCCTGGCAATGGGGTTCACCCATAAAAGCATCTGGTCAGGCTACTGAATCAATGTGATAAACATCACTTTTACCACCATTTTTTTTTTTAAATTTTACCCTCAGTTGAGTCATTCTGTACACAGCTCATTACCTTTTGAGCAGTCTTCTGCTGTAGTTTTGTTAAATTTATCCTCAGGAAATCAACCCCTCTCATGTTCACATCTTTCTTTCCACTTCTATGGCTGTAATTACTTCCTTGTGTCTTAATTGCTTTTATGCTTCTGTATCTCTACCACTACAGTGTAAGCACCTTGAGGACAAGCACTGTGACTTGATCACTATAGTGCACTCAGAGGACAGCGGGTCCTGACTTGATCACTGTGATGTGGTCATAGGACAGTGTGATCCTGGCTTGATTGCTGTGGGGCACTCAAAGTGTAGTAGGGTTCCTGGAGTATGAAAGGCACTCAGTAAAGGCTTGTTTTATTTTCATTCATTTTTTTAATTGGCAGATAATTATTGTGTATATTTATGGGGTACAATGTAATGTGTTGATCCCTGTATACATTGTAGGAAAAGTCAGTCAAGCTAATTAACATATCCATCACCTCACCAACTTATTTTTTGTGGTGAACATGCTGTTTGTTGAGTGAGTGCTCAGAATTGAAAGGCAATGCATGCTGTGGAGATGCCAAGGACAGGCACCCAACCCAGGCAGTTGTAGAAAGTTGGGGGAGATTTCAGAGGAAGATAGACAAACTGAGATTTTACACCTCACCTTGCTGAGGGTGACAGCAAGTTAGCTTGGCATAGGGAGAGGACAATCCTGTCCGAAAAGAGCATAGACAAAGTCCTAGATTTGAGAAAGAGCAGAGGCAATAGGCACAGGCAAAAAAACCCATGCAACTACACCTTTTGTTAACTATGCCTGAGAATCAAGGCAGAAGTCAGTGTGGTAGACATACATGTGCATCTATATATGTGCACATGAGAGGAAAGTTTGATTTTTAAAAGTTTAATTAGATGTAATAAAAAGTCAAATCCATCAACCTCTAAAACTCTTGATATTTAGCCCAAAGCCCTCTACATGACTAAACACATCCATTAACTTTCTCATTATTTAATTTTAATTTTTTCTATCATATTTTAATTCTGTGTTTTAACTGTTGGTATTTTAACAGTATATTTTATATAGTTCCACTGCAGACAATAGTATGGTTAAGGAAAGATATTTGAATTTAACCACCTTGCATGAAATTGTTATGTACAGGAACTGTTGCAAGTTCCAAACACTCAACTTAGAAATGAACATTTAGAAAACTACCTGTTTATAAATTGAGGTTTTGAGTGCATAAGGGACAACTGGCAACAGGATGAGATGGAAGCCATAATGATCTTGGAGTCCAAACATCTGCATCCTTCATTCACCAAGTTCATGAGACTCTTGGTTTCATCATCTGTTGAATGGGATCCACAATATCTGTTCTCCAGTCTTAGGTATTCTTAAAATTGAAAGAGAAACTGAATGTGAAACAAATCACCTAACAGATGGTAGATGGTTGTATTTAGTTATAGCACAAGGTCATTTGCTACAGTAGTTACTTTTATGTTAGACAATAAAAATTTTATACCCCCTCCAACAACTACAACAATAATATATATGGAAAAATATGTGCAGCAATTTAGGTTAGTAAAAGTAAAGCTGTACTTTTTAAAACAAATGGTTTTCAATAGGTTTTCTATATGTTTGTGCCACAAGTACAGCAAGTATGTTTACAGAGAAATGGCTTCTTGCCTCAATAGCGTGAGGATAATATGTGTTGTAACCATTTTGTCTCATAGAATGATTGAAGATAGTGGGAAAAGAGGAAATACCATGGCAGAAAGAAGACAGCTGTTTGCAGAGATGAGTAAGTATGGATCTTTTAAGGAACACCCTATAGTTTCCATTGAATACTCATGGAAAGGCTAGAAATAACCACTTATGTTCATGATACTTGTACTTTTCCTTGGATCCTAAGTCCCTTTCATGAAGTGTACATTTTGGCCTTTTTTACTTCTTACTTGGCAAGAGTTCAGTTAGTCAGTAATTCATCCTAATTTGTTATTAGACTGTATATTTTATATGGAAGAAAATGTTTATAGACCTCTATATTTACATTCACACATATGTGCACATACACAGACACTTGATAAACACTATTTAGTATTGACATTAATACAGTCCACTAAACTTTAAAGTCTGTGTTCATCCCCCTACACTGTCACAGCAGCTGGCATATTGTAGGCACTAGATAAAATTTGTGAAATGAATTATTGACTTTCTTCCCTGCGAAATGATATCATATGTTTATGTGGAAAGGAGAAGTTAGGCACAATTACTGGACCAAACTATAAACTGTCATTCAGACTTCATGTTCTACATGAGGAGAATCTATTCTGCAAACTGGTTTTTTAAAAAATACTAAGGAAAATAAAAGATAAAGGGAGCGTAGAGGTGACCTGCTACACAAGGGAACCCAAACTAAGTTACTGACTCCAGTGAAGAATCTATTCAATAAAGGCCATTGGTTTATGTAAGTGCACAGTTGCTGTATAAGTAATTGGTTGGTAGCATCTCCCTTGTAGACCATTTTTCTTTTTCATAAAGAAAAAGAACTTGACATTAGGGGGAAAACCACACATCTCAAGTTGAATGTTGTAAAGGAAAAAGCGTGGTTCTCTTCATGTCTTTTTATCTCTTCTTCCTGCATATGGAATGAGGATGAGCAGGAGTGAGTGGAAGCCTTTTTCCCTAAGAAGGCAGTAACAAAATTAGGTTCCTACGAAAGATTGAAAGGGATTGGCAAGAATGAGGGTCAGAACAGAAAAAGTTAAGTCCCAGATAATAAGATTCATATTTTCCTTTATCATTCCCCAATAATCTGGTGGTACCAAGATAGCATTAGAACTAACAGAGAGGAAAGAAAATTAAAATTGATGTGGGGAATCTCAATCGTGTTCCTTGCTTTTTCCACTTTTAGAAATGTGCTTAGAGTGTTTGGGAGAGTTTCAGCCAGGCCTTCCAATTTCTTAGACCCCATGTGTGGTACTGTGTCTTCACCTGGAATTGTGGCCTTTGTGCAGTTACAAATCCAACAGAGCAAGGAGCCTAGTGAGTACCTGTCCATCTAAACAAAATCCAAAGCAGCACAGGTATCCTCCAACAGCACATTCTTGTATTAAAAAGGCAAGAGTACATCATGGGACAATATCTTCTCAGACACAGTAGAAAAAAATATTTACCCTAAAAAGGCAATAAAATCTTGGGGGAAATCTTTGAACTTACCATTATAACACTAAAGACAGTGTCAGACAGCACACTGTAAGAACTATAAAAGTATGCTTGTTTAATGATTTTGTAAATCCTTCTTTGAGTTTACGTATCCCAATGTTTTCTGAACCTGATATAGTGCCTGGCTCAGACAGATACATACGTTACAAATGTTTATTGAATCAAAATTGCCCAACTCAAAGAAAGCTCGATATGGTTTTTAGAGACATAGAAAACAGAGACTTAGGAAAATCGTGCATTCAGTTCCCAAATTATAACTTTATCTCTTCATAGAAACATTACAGTGATGTCTTGCAGCTTTATTAGTTCTGTGAGTTCTTGTGATTAATGGTCAGAATAGATAAACAAGCCAAACACATATGTATCTTTCCTCCCTGGGTGTTCCAAATCAAATGTTGGCAAAAACAGCTAAACATGTCTGACCTTAACAATTCATTAGTTTGAGCAACATGTTTATATCAGCACTAAGTATGACACATCCACAATAAGTAGGATTCTGCTGGATAAAACAATCGCTGGTTTCAAAGGGAGCAATTGATTTTGACACGTAGACTGTCATACAAAAGAGAAAGGTAATATCATTGAGAACGTGTTAAATGGTTGAAAAATATATGGGTATTCCAGCTGTATCAGTAGCACACCAAAGAAAGGAAAGGAAACCCTTATCAGAGAAGACTGACATCAAGATTCGAAAAGTAACTTATAGGAACCTGTGCTTTCTAGACAAGGAGCAAAAAGGACTAGACTTGTAAATCTTCTCATCTAAGTATTATATAGAAATATTTAAAGAAAAAAAGACAACAAAAGAAAGTGCCAATGAGATTCTTTGCTTTAGAAATTGCAAATGTGAAAGAAAAGTTGTAATGGACAGAGTTAAACAGGCAGGGAAGACTTTTATCCAAGACAATTGCAACAGGGAAGAAAGACTGAACTCAACTTCCCTGGAACAAAAAGCAGGAAGGACTTTTAAGCACTGGGGAAAAATACTGGAGGACTTCAGGGAGGAGATTGGTCAATGTGATTAGGCCATCTGTTTGCTAATTGTCACATTTAACAGTTAGGCTTCTACCCTCCCGATAAGACTTGGAGATAGAGGTGATACCTCCTTCAACAATTATATTTCAAAGGGCTGGCACCCACATTCTTGAGAAAGACATTCCTGGGTTGTAAACTTGGCAAGATATTTACATCTCAAAGGAGCAGAGAAAGAATTTACAAGGAAAAGTTTTCTAAAGTAAATGCTGTAAGAAAACAGAGGTCAGAAGCCTAGAGGAAGGAAGAAGTCTATCTAAAGTCAGGCAAGTTGAGGAGGTCTTGGTCTTAGAAAAGGTAAAGAACAGCAATTGATAACAAAAATTGATAAGAAAGTTTGGCAAATTCAGGTGATTGCAGCACATATGTGTTAAACATTCACTCTTAGCTCATTACTATAAGCAGCAGAAGCAGGAAGAAACAGCAAAGAAATGAAATTAAGAGAAGCATAGACTAAAAAACAAACAGAAATAATAGCTTTATATAAAAAATTGGGTGATCACCTACTTTGATTTAAGAAATTCTGTGTAAGTTCTCCCTTAACCAAATATTGTCTTCACAATAATGCCCTAATTATCAGTTTGCTTACTACCTTGGATTACAGCTGAAAAAAAGAAAAAAGAAAAACCCTCTAGTTAAATATAAACATCATCAGCTGGGTGCAGTGGCTCACTCCTGTAATCCCAGCACTTTGGGAGGCCAAGGCGGGTGGATCACGAGGTCAGGAGATCGAGACCATCCTGGCTAACATGGTGAAACCCCATCTCTCTACTGAAAATACAAAAAAAAAATTAGCCGGGCGTGGTGGCGAGCGCCTGTAGTCCCAGCTACCTGGGAGGCTGAGGCAGGAGAATGGCGTGAACCCGGGAGGCGGAGCTTGCAGTGAGCCGAGATCGCGCCACTGTATTCCAGCCTGGGTAACAGAGCAAGACTCCGTCTCAGAAAAAATATATATATAAACGTCATCCTCACCTTGGCTTTTTCAGCCATCAAATAAGTTTAGCAGCTCAAGTAAGTTTATCAGACTGACTTTTAACAGAATAAATTGTTTGTTCTTGGAATTAAACTCTCCTTTTCTGTTTTTCTACTCTCAGAGCACATTTACTTAGCCTTTTATGGTAGTTGTGAACATGTCCATACCACTCACTGCTATGAACTCCTTTTTAGGGACAGACCTAGGACATGTACCTTCAAATCATTCACCTTAGATGCTGAATCAATGCTCATTTAAAAGCCGATGGGGCACAGGATGGGTAGGTTTTAATGGAAGGGACGTGATTGGAAAACACTCTTTGAGAACATGGAATTCTGCCTAAAAAGGTCAGGAAGGTCTTGGGGAGAAATGAGAGTGATGCCACTGGCCTCTCAGCAGAGGCGGGACCTGAAATCAAAGGGAGGCAAATGAAACTACTCAACAAATACTGTTTTTGGCTTTTGTTTCTGTGTATGTTTTGAGATACAGTTTCACTGTGTCGCCCAGGCTGGCATGCAGTGACGTGATCTTGGCTCACTGCAACCTCCGCCTCCCGGGTTCAAGCAGTTCTTGTGCCTCGGCCTCCCGAATAGCTGGGACTACAGGTGCACCACCACGCCCGGCTACTTTTAGTATTTTTAGGAGAGACGCCCTGGATTTCACCATGCTTGGTCAGGCTGGTCTCAAACTTCTGACCTTAAGTGATCCACCCACCTCAGCCTTCCAAAGTGCTGGAATTACCGCGTGAGCCACTGTGCCCGGCCTAAGTACTGTTGAATTATTTGAAGGCAGGCCGTCCTTGAGAGTGTTGGCTGGAGTCAGCACATGCACGATTGGAAAGGAACCTAGGGCATGATTTTAAAATGCAAACTATGAATTTAAGAACACCAATCTCAAAAATTCAGAAAAATGACATGAATGACTCCGCCACCCTAGGTTATCATGGATATGGTGACTGTTTTCACCCACTTCTTCGTTTCTCGTGCTCCTCAGTCTCTTTAAGATATTAACATCATGGATCGCCACCCAAGAAATTCTCTCTATGTCACCACAACCTAGTCTCCTGCTTTTTCTGTCTCCTCTACTTCTCTCTTTCTGTCTCTTAGTACCCTCTAGACACTGAAGTTAGAGAATGTAAAGTTTTCTTCTTGACCAGTTTTCTCCATATACAATTTGTCTCTCTCTCAAGTCTTTACCTTTATTGCTATGACTCTTGAGTGTTCAGAGTCCCCCAAAACAACCTCCCATTTCTCATGAGCCAGCTTATCCAAAATAGCACATGAACTAAACTTCCCTTCCAGCCTTGCCTACTTGTTGTCAAGTCTTCTGCTAATGAAGCAGCTTGAGGAGGGCTCATTGTCACTCCACTAATAGTGCCCATCACAAAAATACCTATCATTCCCTGCCAAGATGGCTGCCTTCTAGTGTTCCCAAAGCCACGCGGTCTTTTAACAACTGCCAAGCAGCTGGGCACAGTTCAGAAACGAGGAGGACACTCCAATTCCCAAGTTTGTGCCTCATTTTGTCACTAGAAATATGGAATAGCCCTACTTGTGCAGAGTCTCCTGTTG